GTCCAGCTTCAACTGGTGCATTATTCTTAGAACTTGATCTGCAGCCTATAGTCATTCACTCTTTCATCATGTTATGTAAGGACTACTGCAGTGCACTCCACTTGGAGATGACTCTGAAAACTATTCAGAAACTTCAAGTGGCTCATAATGCAGAGGGCTGTGTGCTCCCCAGCAGAAACCCCCTGAGGAGGCAATAGCTCTTCAGTGGCTGAATAGTGGTTCAGTATAAGTTTCTAGTATAATTTAAAAAGCTGATTATAACCTACAAAACACTTTGTGGCTTAGGTCCTAGTTACCTTGGAGACTGTCTGCTTCAAATAGAATCTGTCTCCCCTACAAATTTGAGTCAGCAAAGTATGCTGTCTGATCACCTCTCCACCTCTGTAGAGCTGAAGGGGGGGGGGTGTCAGAAAATATGCCTTTTCTGTTTCTCCACCAGTGTGGTGGTATACCCTGCCCCCCCCCCAAGGTAAAGATAATCCTTTTTATCAAGTAAATAAATACTATTTCACTGGACTTTTGCATCTTAAGATATTAAGGGTACTTCTATTGCATTTTTCTTGGCTGTATTATTTTACTGCAGTTTTTTAAAATTGTTTTTTATGTATAGGAAGCAGCCTAGAGTTATATGACTGGGGTGGAATAGAAATGATCTAAAATATAGAAATAAAATTGTAGTGCAAGATTAGAAGTACATTTGTGAATTATGACCAACACGTAGAAGCAGAACCTGTCATTTTTTTTAAAAAAAATGGTTATTTAGTTATTTACTGCTATTTACTGATTTGGAGATAACAATAAATTATAATTTTTAGAAACCAAGAAGTTACTATTTACTTTCATGAAAGAAGAAGAATAAATTGGCTAGTTTGAGCACAAAGACTTTTTAAAATGTAGCTATTCGTTCCAATACATGAAAGAAAAAAAATAAAGAACAGAGGATGGTTTTCTTTTTTGAGGGAGACAGTTTTGTATGGTGCTTTGAAGATACCAGGGTAGAAATTAGGAGGCTGTGAGTTCTAATACTGCCTCAGGCATGTAGCCAGCTTCGTGATCTTGGGCCAGCTGCTCTCTCTCAGCCCTACAAACAAGGCAATGGCAAACCACTTCCCAAAACCTTACTGAGGAAAATGTAAGCACCATAAAACAAAACAAAACAAAACAACCACTTGTCAGGGGATGAAATGCATAACATAAACATAAAGAAGTTTTTAAGTTAAATTTCATAAAACACATATTTTGGAATGAAGTAACAGAGAAATTATTTAAATTCTGATTTGAAATTCTACAGCCAAGTATAGTACTGGTAGTATTGAGTAATATTAGGAGGTACAAATAGAGAATTCAGTGTCAGGATAGAAAGATGGCTATAGACCAGTCTCTTAAGACCTGTGGACTTCAACTCCCAGAATTCTATACTGACTCCCAGAAGCTATACTGATTAAGGAATTCTGGGAGTTAAAGTCCACAAGTCTTAAAGTTGCCAAGTTTGGAGATCCCTGCTATAGACTATCTGCCCACCCACGCCCCTTGATGAGAAATAAAAGTCCTTACTTAGAGCAGACATCCGATTCCGCTCAGTCATAGGAGCCAACATACTGCCCACAATGCTTACTCTTTGTGTCATTTATTCCCTAAATTAATTTCTTCTTTATATCACTTCAGGAAAGGATATCCCATTCTCTTGTTAATGAGAAAGGAAATATATGATCCTTGCATTCTGTTTGTGGCTGTGGCTGAACTTAAGACTAACGAGATGATGAACTTGTATAGAAGATCCATGGCAACCCAGTCTTTGACGAAGAATAGTTGTGGTTATATCCCAATGGAAAGAGTAACAATGGTTTGAGCGCATATGAGCCCATTACTTTAAACAACATTATCTTGGTCTAGCAGGCTACTTGTGACATTTCAAACAAGGGCACTTCTGGACAGAGGCAACAGCTGTAAGTGCCTCTTGCATATTCTTATCCATAGCAACCTAAACCATTAGCTGTCACCTTGGTGCCTTGAAGCAAGATTTTCTGAACTTCAAAGCTTCCAAATGTGCAGTCACCATGTGGGCAGCCTCCTTGCTAACATCAGTAAGGCAGACACTCAGTCTGCCTGGCTCTGTTGGATTATGGGATTTGCCCTCCTTATTCACAGTTTGAGATTTTTTTTTTTTACTGCTTTCTGAAAGCAAACGGCAGCACTGCGTACATGGAGGAGGAGAAGCGTCTCTAGACTTCGAGGCAATCATTAGATAATCACCTCTCATTATTAAACTTTAATTTAAATTGTGTATTGAAAAGAACAAACAAACTCGTATCAAAGGAGCCTCTGGCATTTTTCAGCACTTGATTAAATTTGAGGATGTGGGGGTTGAGAGCCATGTAGATTCTTTTAACTTATTTCCTCTGAGTTTCCATCTTCTGATTTCTCTCATTGCTGCAAGGAAATAATATGAATTATTGCTAAAGACTAGCTCTTTCTTTTCAGATGGCTTAAACTAGAAATACAAATTCAAGAAGACTCTTTGCTGGTTGCCCCCCATAAAGTACCCCAAATTTATAATGTTTCCCTTATTAATTTTTCATCAGCATGTTCATACATTTTCATATTTATTCTTCAAGTTTTCCAACTCTGGGTTCTTATGTGTAATATGTATCTTGTCCATCCTACTGTCAATTACTTAGAAAACTGTCTCTATATATTTAATTGCAATATGTCGTAGAACTTGCTAACTCTGAAGTTCAGGGGCTAGAAATAAAGATTCAGAAGTATTTCTAGTAGAAAATGATTTGTGTAACATTAGTATTTGAACAAGCTATATATTCCTTTCCTACCATTGATATTCCAAAAAGAAGCCTAAATTCTTTGTTTTACATTTCCATCTTCTCTTACTTTGATGAGAAATGCTTGAAAGGGGAAGAGGGGAAGAGTTGTAGAGCTCATCATTACAATTTCACAGAATTCAAAAAATAATCACACAGGCAATTGGCCTGATAGGGTATTTGAATTTGAAAAATCAAAGGTAAAGGTGGGTGAAAATTGCCCCAAATAATTGCCCATTGGTATAAAGCTACTTCAGAGTGATGCAACAAAGCACTATGACAATACTAGTCAGTTTAATATAATTCTGCATGAAAGATCATTTTCTCACCTAGAGTTTAGCTGCTTCAGAATGATTCTGTTACCCAGTCTGAATTAATACTAGGATAACGTTATATAGATATAGGGATATTATATTAGGTAGACCTGTAATAGTGTACAGTGATTATAAGAGATTATAAACTTCCTCCCTCCCTCCCTCCCTCCCTCCCTTTCCCTTCAGTGTAAATACTATGGGATAATCCAATCTGAAGGAAAATGGTCAGCTTCTTTCTCAGGGATCAGAATCTTCTTATCCCAGGAAATATATTTGTCCAATTTATATATTAGGTACCTTGCAACCTAACTGCAATTTGTACAACACAGCTTACAAAATAAAACATACAATTCCGTATCCATATAACCTATTCATAAAATTCAACACCAGTTTCCAACAAAGGTTAGTGTGAACCTTTTCAAGCGATCCAATTTGAAAAGATAAATACAAAGGTATATAAAACACAAAGTAGTTAAAAACCAAATGAAAGTAGCAAAAACGGGGATTACAAAACCTTGTTAAAGACAGCCACCCGCTGGAATCTATTATTTTTCCCTTGTATAGGACCATTAGAAAGGCTCTTTGCTGTTGCTTGTCAGCTTTACAAGCCTCAGTAGCAACTCAACAGATATCACATCAGAAAGTTCATGAGGTTGAGCCTCAAAGCATCCAAGCACAGGTTCCTTCTTTGAAATTGGATCTGGAAATATTCTGACAATTGGGGAGTCTGGTACAAAACTGATTCATCCCTTTAGCTTCATCCAAGATGTAAGAGGCCACATTTTACCTTAATTAAAATGTCTGAAACATTTTCAAAGATAGCCTCTTTGTATGTGACAAACACTGTATACATTGCTGAAATGTAGTTCTTTTTTCTCCAGATAGGGATAGAGAAGATGGACCAACCTAGCTGGTAAAGACAGCTGCTAAATTATGCTTACCCATGCAACACCGAATTAAGAAACTTATATAAAATACAGAGTTGATCGTGTAATCTTATCAAAGATCACTTGAATCCCATATCCAAACTTTTCCCACCCACAATCTTGCCTGGATAAATTTTTGCTTCTTCTCCCACTTCCCACCTTACCATCCATCCATCCCTAGACTGCCTTCAGACAGCTACTCAAGAGTTTCATACCCTCCCTGGAATCAGAAAGTAGAAAATGGAATTGTCTTCTACATGTTGATCCTACAGTAGCTCAGAACTCCCAAGTGACTTTCCTCCTTTAATTGCAAAGGAAGCTTGCATTATCCCAAATAAAAATGTGAATTATCCAAAAAAAAGTCAAGTTTGCAGCAGATGAAAACAGATCTTACACACTGTATTCTTTGACCCCTTTGTGATTTTTTTTTTGTTCTAGCAGCAGAATTTTAAATGATTTTTTATAATTAATGTAATAAGTGAAAATGGCAAGTAAATAATAAAAGTGTATGGGAAAGTAGGCCATGCTGTCACAACAGAGACAAAAGAGAGTTGCTGTAGCCTATCGAAATGTGTAAGATTATAGTTGGCTTGGCTATGTATCTCTTGGTAAGATAAGATAAGGTAAGGTAAGGTAAGGTAAGGTAAGATAAGATAAGATAAGATAAGATAAGATAAGATAAGATAAGATAAGATAAGATAAGATAAGATAACCTTTATTGTCATTTTTATACTGTGGGCACAATGGCACACATCAAAAATGAAATTTAGTTGCCCGCTCTCAAAGTGAAACATATACATGACACACACCTAAACATACCATGAACAACATATGTATAGACCCACATCCCTACATATATATACATATATGTAGTATACTGTTCATCATCTCCCTTTTTCCTCCCCCTCTCTCATTCTCTCCCATGTTCTTCTCTTTTTATTAAGGTACATGATCACATCCCTAGACCGAACACATGCCGGCTTCTACCGCTGCATTGTGCGCAATCGCATGGGGGCCCTGCTGCAAAGACAGACTGAAGTACAAGTGGCATGTAAGTGCTGATGAATCCTATTCCTCCAATGGTTTAAGAATGCAAAAGGCATCCTTCTATAACAAAGACAGCTTACGAGTCAAAAGGGCAGCCAAGATTGTCATGTTGCCTGAATTAATGTTTGGACCACTTGTTAAAAATGGGATAATGAGATTAGGATTTTAAAAGGCTTAAAAGGTGCATTGCACGTTATGGAAGACCTCTCCAGAGTGGAAGGAATACTTCAAGCAAAAAGGAGAAAATTAACTAAGGGGCAAAGCGGTATGAAAGAGCATGTCACAGAATACCAAAGGAAGTTATAGTTGATTAGTTAAACAAGGACTTTGATTCTGTGAGCCTGAAAACACAAAAGAACCATTCCTAAGACAATGCAGGATAAAGGGATCTCTTCAACTGCAATTTGTGTTCCCGACTTAGGGGTTTGCCTTTTATTATTACATTCATGTATTTTGTTATTTTATACTATGAACCTTTGGACAGCTTAGAAATGCAGTCACTTGCCAAGTTAATCACGAGATTGCTGTGGATTTCCTTCTGACTGCAAACAGCCCCTTTTCTGCACTATATGTTGTCTTCTCCATCAAAGTCAGGAAATTTTGCTAATTTCAACAATAAATTAGGTAAGATGGCCATGATACTTTATGGTACCTTTAAGATTTCTTATTTTTTAAAAAATCAACCAGAATTTATCCTTGGTCACTGATAGAACAGTCAGGTTTTAACAATTAAGCAAAGTTTGGATGATCCTTAATAAGCAAAGTTAAGTAAGAAATTATTGGGGGCTCAATTGAGCCCTGCAAAATGGAATTTGCATCAACAACTGGAAGAGAAAAGTAGGCAAACTGAAATTAACAGAAAAGCTCTTTCTTAACAGTGTGAGTTATGAACTATATGAAAAGAACACCATCAACCCAGGACTTCTTTCACCTTTTTCAGATCGAGATTAGAGGAACTTTTAAAGGACATCGCTCAGTCAACTGCAAAATTTTAGATATCGGAATCATGAAAGGGAATTCTTTGGCTGTGTATATTAGAAGTCACCTTCCAGGCTTTATCACAATTTATTAATCCTCTGTCAACAATAAGCTGACCTTTGATAGCTGTGCCAAATCATAAAACCTCAAATCGCAAAGGCAATGTCTGCTTCTTCCATGCTGAGAGATTACACTCAAATGTCTGGTTTTTTTCATTTGTTGCTTCTCTTTTTAAAGCTCTTTCAGATTGCACATCATTATTTGCAAAATTTCAATGGCAAGTGAGACCTGAATTTTTCAATTTTCACATAATAGTTTTTACTTTTGGTCCCTTAAGATTACTGTGAGGAAGAAAGCTTTTGGGGGTTTGAGGGTCATCAGAAGATGGATGGCTAAGAGAGCATAAAGGGGCTGAAATAGCTGTGGGAAACAGTCAGCAGATTAAGGGATAGGTTAGCATTATAACAACCTGGTCAACTTGACGATGTGTGGATAATGGCTGTCTGGGGAATTCTAGGGGTTGAAGTCCACACATCGTCAAGTTGCCCAGGTTGAGAAACGCTGTTACAACACATTTCATTAAAGTTTGTGGAAATCCAGTTTGAGAAGCTCTTTTGTTGAAATATTAAATCCTTCGGACAGTTTTTAACAAAAGCAAGCCTTTCTCCACCACAACGCTTTCTGGAAGGCAGGGAAAGCAAACAGCATTTATAACAATTACAACACCATTGCCTGTCGCAGGGATAAGCTGCCCATATAAATCAGATCTAGTCTCTCCAACATGCAGGGAAGAAGGCTGAAACATTAATGACCAAGCTTCAGCCAGCAGCAGAATCTGGATTAGGTTGCTGGCACCTATGGCAATTAACTGGGGGATCTTACACTTTGCCACTGCAGAGTATACTCTCTGGAAGTAAGGGGGGAGGGATTTTATCTGGAATAAGAAGTAATTTGGAGGACCACACTTCAGAATAAAGGAATATTTATAAGTCTTAACACAGCCTTCTGATATAGGTAGTCCTCATTTTACGACCACAATTAAGCCCAAAATTTCTGTTGCTAAGCAAGACATTTGTTAAGTGAGTTTTGCCCCATTTTATGACTTTTCTTGCCACAGTTAAGTGAATCACTGCAATTGTTAAGTTAGTAACACGGTTGTTAAGTGAATCTGGGTTCCACATTCACTTTGTTTGTCAGAAGATCGCAAAAGGGGATCACATGATCCTGGGACATGACAACCATCATAAATATGAATCAGTTGTCAAGCACCTGAATTTTTGATTATATGACCATGGGGATGCTATAACAGCCGTAAGTATGAAAAACAGTCATGTCACTTTTTTTGAGTGTCTTGGTAACTTTGAATAGTCACTAAGTGATTGTAAGTCGAGGACTACCGGTAACCTAGGTATCTAGATATGTTAGCTCTGCAACACACACACACACACACAGCCAACTTACTATCTTACATCCTAAAAGGGACTCTTCTGGGATTGTAGGTTCAGGATTTCTAGCAGCCTCCTGCAAGTTTCCAAAAATCTCAAGCAAAATATGAGGAATTGAATGGCAACATATCTACTGAGCAACAGTTTGGAAAGGGCTGGTTTAATCTAGCTACACCAGAAATCTTAGATATGACTTGTGTGAGTAACCTATAAGGCATCCGCATATTGCTGAATTACAGCTCTCAGCACCCCCTAGTACAGCTAATGATGAAGAATGATTGGAGTTGGAGTCCAGCTGTATACGAAGGATCACAATCCTTGAACTAGGAATAACAGAATAACAGAATTGGAAGGGACCTTAGAGGTCTTTTAGTCCAACCCCCTGCTGGAGACTCTGTACCATTTCAGACAAGTGGTTGTACAATCTCTTCTTAAAAACACCCTGTGATCAAACACCCACAACTTCTGAAGGCAAGGTATTCCACTGCTTGTTTTCATGGTCAGGAAATTTCTCCTTAGAAGAAGCAGGTGCAGTGTAACATTCAAGAAGCAGATGTAATACAGCATTCAGTTGTGGGGAGCAAAGGGGGGGAACTCCCACCCTAATTTTTCTCAGCACAATGGAACTTCTGTTCATAAATAACTTGGGGGATGGAGGACTGTACAGGGGGTAGTTCTACATTTACTTACTTTCATAGCTTAATAATCTTAAGTTTTCAAAGGGTCAAAACTAGTCCTAATATTACGCAGAGCAAAGGAAACATTTTAGGCAGTTGATTTTGTTGATTTTCCCTTTTATTCTAAAAGGCCAGCAACTTTTAGTTTGTCAGATTTGTTATGGAAAGCCTAGCTGGTGAGGTGGTAAAGGCATCACTCTAGAAACTGGGAGACTCTAAGTTCTAATCTTATCTTAGCACAACACCATCTGGATAATGTGGGGCCACTCACTTTATTTAGCCCTTTCAAAAATGTTGCCAAGAAAACTGTAGAGACCTGTCCATACAATACACCAGGAATCAAGACTGAGTCAAAAATATACAAAAAAAATTACAGCTGTGTTCATGGTTTTCTTTTTCTTGAGGCAATAAGGTAGCTTAGCTGGTCTTAGGTAGGCATTCAAGGAAAGCATGGCATCAGGCTATACCGTGTTTTCCCGAAAGTAAGACTTACCCCCAAAATAAGCCCTAACTTGATTTTTGACGGTGGGCCTAATATAAGCCCTACCCCCAAAATAAAATCAGCCGAGAACCGAGTTATAGATTCAATCCATAGCTCGTTTCCTGGCTGCAGAAGTCTTGTAGAAAGGCCTTTGATGGCAAAATGCAGGCCGGAGCTCCATTCTCGGTTGAAGAATGAAGCTGCTCCTTCGGCCACAGAAGAAGTGGGTGGGCTGGGTAAGTGGAAAAGACATCCACTCACCCCAAAATAAGACCTGGTGCATCTTTTGGAGGCAAAAAAAAAAAGATCAGGTCTTATTTTCGGGGAAACCTCAGTATGAGAAGCCGCCTTTTTACAGCAAAAGGCTTGGACTGGCAGTATCTGTCAAATCAACATAGTCTGAGGGCCTTAGAAGCTCAGAGATGAAGACTTGCTGAGGCAGAAGAAGAAAATTCAAGAAAGCAACAATGAAAACAGAATGGGCATTTTAATTCAAGCTTCAGGCTTAGTTGTTTGCGGGCCTCTGAGACTTTCTATGTTCTTATGCAATAGAGCCCAGCTGTGCCCCTGTGCAAAGAGGGATATCATGCAATTACGTCTAGCAAAATAATATCTCCTGAGAGGACTAGGCATTAGTGAAAGATCAGATGCAGGAGAGCTTCCCAACTGATAAAAATACTGCTAAGAATTCCATTCTTGCTATGGCAGTGACATCACAGTGACGTTACTTCTATCTTGTTTCCTCCTCTTTTTTCTGTCCTGGTTACCCCTCTGTCATTTTTTTTGGCCTGTATCTGCAAGAGTTTATGTTGCTAGCAATTCAAAATCCTGAGTTAGAGTTCCAGTAAGGTATCAGGAGGATTCTGAATCAGAAAAAAAAGGCAGAACTAATGTATGAGGAATTAACATTCATTGATACACTTCAGTATTAAGAAGATAAAGAACCAAAGCCTGCCATCTTCTGACAATGTATTCCTCTATCATAGTGAGTTGCTGCTGCACTGTTATGCTACAGATATGGAATGGCAGAATCAATTTCCTTATTGTGGCATTTACTCTCCTTTGTGTACTTAGTTACTTGCAGCTATAAGAAGTTGATTGAAGAAAAGGCTACTATCTCTCTGGTGCATGTGGTTTTGTTTTTTAAGGGCTGTTCTGCCACAGCTTCAAGCTTCATAATGAAGTTGAATGTGTGTGAAGCCTGAAGTTGATATCTCCAAAGATACCTCCTTAACTTCCCTCTGATGTTCCTTACTAGATGTAGTCCCAAATTGGGAATCACCCTAACTGGACTTAGTGCTTCATCAGCGTTCTTCAAATGAAGATCTATGAGCCAATGATCTCTGCCGCAAAAGAAAATTAAAATAAAGAGAACCGGTGGAAAGTGTTGGCTGGGGGTGGGGGGGAAAGGGCATCTTGTGGCTTTTAGTTTGGAAATGTGCTGCAAAGACTCAAGATTTAGTGTGCCAGTTTTCAGGACTCTTTGCCTTTCTGTCAGGGAGAAGTATCTTTTTCCCCTTCCTGCAATTGGGAAAAGGAAATAATTGCTGTCAAAAGATTGGGGAAAAGCAGCTCTGTGAGCATCTCCTAACCTTAAGTTCATAAATCAGTTTCCACAAACTAGGGAAAAGTGTTACAAACATTAAAAAGAGCTAGTGTTCCTGGAGCCTCACCCAAGCAAGGACCTGGGGTGAGGGGAGCCTGCCTTAAAAATCCCGTTCTGTTGTTCCACTTTGCCATTTTGCCATTTTCCCCTCCCCAAAGCAGCCCCTTCTCCAAAGGTTGATGGCAAATCAGGCAGCTAATAGGAAATTAATCAGGCAGCTGTGGATGCTGCTAATGGCCAAGTCATTAAAAAGAGATTCTTTACACGTTTTTAATTACAGCAATTAAATCAAGTCAATAAAATGTCTCCCCCACCCCCCACCTCCCATTTTGCCATTAGTACTATTATTATTAAAGGTGCTATAAATTTCCTACCCACAAACAGCTGCGCCATGAGGAGGCCCTGACCTCCATCTCTTCAGCGACAAGGTTGCAGTTTACATTGTGCGAGGAGGAGAAGAAAGGCTCCCCACTGTAGATACCCATGTCTGAAAGCAATTTGGCCATTTTTAGGGGTCAGTGAGAATGGGCATACAAGAGGTACGATTCACAACAAATATCTACCAGCAGTAGAGGAGAATGCTCTGAATGTGGAAGAACAAAGCTTTGTTTGCTAGGTCTGTGTGTGAAAGAGATTGTTAACCACAGGTCAGTGCCAGTGTAAAGCATGTGAAACATTCATTTGTGTGGCTTTTGCTCTAAAGTATCTGGAGAGGCACCTTAATAACTGCGTTTTAAAGAAGTTTGCTCCCCCACTGCAGCTTTTGGCCAATTATTGCAATACATTTTTTTTTTCCCCAAGAAGCTATAGAAGGCATGTTTTATTGTGTCAGTTGTGAAGGGTGCTCATTCACATATATAAATTGCCACCTTTCAAAGAACACACATGCAGTGACTAAGAATGGTCCTGTCATATTACTCCTGTATATTTTGCAAAGAGAAAACTGTAATTTATATGGATACCCTTTCATACCTTGTACATGACATGGGCATTCTGACACTTAGCAATCCATTGCCCCAATCAAAATACTACACAAAGCCACTTGCTTTGTGTAAAAAAAAAAGCTGAGCAATCTATCAGGGTTCCAAGGCTAGGAATGACCTGGGTCTTTGGGTTTTGTTAGCTGTGAAAAATTGGAACTTTAGGGTTTTTAGCCACTTTTGTCCCTTTCCTAAAAGAATACAAAAGGGCAGATTCTGGTATGTTCTTGCCTGGAATTGGGTGGGTAATTGGCAGCCCAGAAGCTGCATGCAGCCCTATGAGAAACATTGTTTTGCCTCCCAAAGCTTTGCTCTTTTTTAAACAATTCAAACACAGTTTAATTAAGCTTTTGAACAGAGTTTCACATCTATTTTATGTAAAAGAAACAAGCCACCGCCACCACCCCAGTCCAAAAGCTGAAAATGTTGGGTATAATTATTCCAACAACATTATTGCATCTACTCAGTGGCCCTAGTTCTCTGAGAATAATCATGATAAAACTGAAGGTCCAAAGAGTGACAGATGGTGAGATGTAAACTTCATTGAGTAACTTAATACAGTTGTGACCTATCAGGATGCATGGATGAGCTCTTCTCTTCCATGGTTTCAGGCAGAGAACAACAGCAAAAACAACAATATCATTTATGAATAAACTGCTAGATAGTGATGATCAGCTGCATTCAGAATTGCTGGACATAATTTGTGCATGATTTAGGTCTTCCCACAGTGAATCATTGCCTATTCTTACCTTGCCTTATGGCTCCTACATTCTTACCCTGTCCTATCCTAATCCCATAACTGGAGATGGTTGAATGAATGCATATATAAATAGCAATAGCAATAGTCCTTATATACTGCCCCATAGGACTTTACAGCTCTCTTTGGGCAGTTTACAATGTCAGTATATTTCGCCCAACAATCTGGGTCCTGATTTTACTGACTTTGGAAGGATGGAAGGCTGAGTCAAACTTGAGCTTGTCAGGGTTGAACTCCTGGCTGTGGGCAGTTAGCTTGCAATGCTGCATTCTAACCACTGAGTCACCAAGAATGCCTGCATGCTCAAAATGTGAAAGGTAGAACAGGTAGAATCTAAAGTGTTCTTAAACTGGCAAATGCCATTTCTTATTTATTTATCTATTTATTCATTCATTCTTTGTTTGTTTGTTTATTTATTAAATTTGTTTGCTGCACATTTTGGCATAAGAAGACTCTAGGTAGCTTACAACATTAATATTATTATTACAACATTACAACACTATTATTTTCCACTTCATCTTAGTTCCTTTACCAAGGTGGATAGCATGAAGGTACCCACATGCACACATACTTTAGGGCAGTAGATCTGACTATATTGTATCTTGGTAATTCGTATTTATTTATTGCTGTTTCTCTCTCCACTCTCTTAACCCGCATCTGGCTCAGACATGGGAAGCTTTGAAGAGAAAGAGAAGCAGCAGAGCGTCTCACATGGTGAAGCCGCCGTCATCCGTGCTCCCCGCATTGCCAGTTTCCCTCGTCCACAGGTCACGTGGTTCCGCGATGGGCGTAAAATCCCTCCCAGCAGTCGCATGTGAGTAAAAAAAAAACCCCATTCTGTGAAAAATACTGAGGTAAAAGATATTTCATAAAACTAGATGCTGCTCGCTTTTCTTTGGAATAGGATCTTATAAGGTGGCTAGCCAATATTGGTGATAGCCCTAGAGCAGTGGACCCCCAACCTTTTGGACACCAGGGACCAGTTCCATGGAGAGAGGTTTTTCTGCAGACCAGAGGGGCTGTGGTTTTGTGTGCTACCTGCATCCTGCGGATGGGACTTTGCTTGTTTGCATGGTCCCATTTGAAGCTATGCCGCCACCCAGTTTTGGCCATGGACCTGGGGTTGGGGACCCCAGCTCTAGAGAACATGGAGACCTTTGCACATGAAAGATAGGAGAAGTGGCCCTGATACAATGCTACCTTTGGGGACTTTCAGAACTCCTTATACCTGCTCTCACTTCCCTTTCCACCTGGGAATACTGAATACAATGGCTCCTCAAAGAGAAGCTTGCCTTTCATCCCTTGCTAATTACCCGCCTGCTTCAGGAGTTGTTTTCCACTCTGCCTTTGAGGTACCACCAAAGCACTATTTGCACCCCAGTTCCATTTGAGTGGCTTGGCTGAAAATAACCATAGCTTTCTACTTTCTTTAAATATACCATACTCTAATGTTCCAAATGACGACCAGTGATGATTCTTATATTTATGCCCCAATGAGTTGAACTTTAACTTGAAAACTGACTACAGATAGTCCTTGACCTACAACAGTGACTGTTCAAAATTACACTGAAAAAAGTGATTTATGACTGTTTTTCACACTTACAACCATTGAATCATCCCTGCGGTCACATGATCAAAATTTAGATGCTTGGTAAATGACTCATATTTATGATGGTCACAGTGTCCCGGGGTCATGTGATCCCCTTTGGGACCTTCTGATAAGCAAAGTCAATGGGGAAGCAACTTAACAACTGCAATAATTCACTTAACAATTGTGGCAAGAAACGTCATAAAATGGGACAAAATTCACTTAACAAATGTTTCACTTAGCCACATAAATTTTGAGCTCAGTTGTGGTATTCATATTGTTAATAGAAGCAGTTTTCTTCACCATTAGTATGTGAACCAACTCTACCCCCCCATTCCCCAAAGCCAATAAATAACGAATAACAAAGTAGTGAATATGGGCAAAATCCACAAATACTACAGATACTACAGATATAGTAACTTATTCATATGTTGCATTTTAAACTCAGTGTTTCCAGCTCAGGGTCCTTGCTCTCTTGGCAAGCACCAAAGTGTGTCTTTCTCACCTTCTCCTCATTAGTTGCTCTACCCAGCTGCTGTGTTTCTTCCAAGAACCCTGATGGTTAATGAAGGGACTTAATACTCTCAGATCCAGAAACATCAACAGGGGGTCTAAAACTGATGCTGAAATCTTGATAGATGAAACATGAGGGTGAGGGTACATGTAAGCAGTCCGATTATAGTTAGAAATACTATTTGGCCGATAAACTAATTAAAGAAAAAAAAATACGATCTGGCAACATGTGCAGCTGTCAGACTATTGTAGGCCAAGATAAAGTCCTCCAGTCATGAGATACATTTATAAATGAGACCCAGAACATGCCCATAAAAAAAAAATAACCTTCATCCCCAATGGAAAGTCATGAGGCAGACACATTAACTGCCCTGTTTATCTGAAAGAATCCTTGTCATGTCTAGTTTTAATGGAGAAAATGCCAGGGAATACAGTTGAATGTGTTCTTGTTAAACTAACATTAAAGATGTTTAACAGATGTCTTAGACTCATCACATTAAAATCTGGAGATAGACTTGATAAACTAATGGCTTTGTTTATCATGGAGAAAATGAATTTAAGCAAGAGTGGGGGGGGAAGAAGAGAGCTATAAGGAGGGGCATCTGTTCATTCTTACGAGCTGTAATATTCGATTCAGGAAAGGGGAAAAATTGCCAAGACTCTCAACCCAGATAGAGACATTCATAGTAAGGTGCAGCAATACCCTAGCACCAAGAGTAATTTTTAAGAGTGGAAGTTTACCTAGCAGCTACTTCTCTCTTTATATGCTCGCAGACATTATTCACATAAAGGGCATGAAGGAAAGGGGTATGGAGACCATTAATACTAATTCATATATAAGGAAAGTATGACATTGAGAAAACGGTATATTCATTTACTGTATTTGTTCCACAATATGTGAAGAATTATGCTTCTTGCTCCCGATAGCTAATAGAGCTGTGTTTTTATGAGCAGCATCTCTCCGTACTTGTTCCATAGAATCCTTCACAGACTTCAATCAATCAATCAATCAATAGAATAGAGCTGGAAGGACCATGGAGGTCGTCTAGCCCAACTCCCTGCTCAAGCAGGAGACCCTATATAATTTCAGACAAGTGGTTTTCCAATGTCTTCTTTTTTTTAAAATTTTTATTTTCAATTTTGCAATACAATACAATCTTAAAAATACTTCAGATAAAAAATAAAACAAATTAATACAGACCATTTTCGGTATTGCTTACCCATTTCCCCCCCAACCGCATCCACCCTCTAACCAACTTACCTCTTTCCCTCTTCTTTCTCTTTCTCCCTCACCCCCTCTCCTCCACCTTCCTACTTACTTCTCACCTTCTTCTATCCTCTCACTCTGGATGCGGTCCAGGGGAAATGCCCGAGCAATTCCTCTCTCCAAATTGAAACCTCAATATTATATACAATAAAAATTATTTCTACTTATCTGAACTACTAAAAGTTCAACCCATCCTTCCCCCACCCCCCTCCCCCACCCCCCTCACCCCTGACTTCTCAGAGCTAAGTACAGGATTATACAAATATATTAAACATAATCTATTTAAGTTTACTAATTATACAATAACCAAAATCATACTAATCCTTAACTCTCTTCAACTTTAACATCATAAGTATAAACAAATTCATTACTCATAAAATAAATGAAGCTTTGTAGTTCCATACTTCTTCTGAACATATTCTATCCATCTTCTGCATACATTGAAATATCTCTCTTGTGAATGGTCCTTTAAATAAGCAGAAATTTTGGCCATTTCTGCTAAATTAGAAACCTTAAATACCCATTCTTCTAAAGAAGGCAGAGTATCCTTCTTCCAATATTGACCCACCAATAATCTTGCTGCTGTTATTAAATTCAACATTAAAATAGTTTCTTTAACATCAAAATCCACAAAAATATCCAAAAGAAATAACTGGGGAGTAAACTTAATCTTCCTTTTAAAAACCTTTTGAATGTTCCACCAAATCATAATCCAGAAGGCTTTAATGTTTTTACAAGTCCACCAAACATGAAAATAGGTTGCATCCAAGCAACCACATCTCCAATATTTAGGTTGCAGGTTCGGGTACATACAAGACAACTTTTTAGGACCCAGATGCCATCTATAAAACATTTTATAAAAATTTTCTCTCAAATTTTGAGCCTGCGTAAATTTAACATTTCTAATCCAAATTACCTCCCATAAGTCCAATGAAATCGGTTCCTGAATGTTCTGGGCCCATTTAATCATACAATCTTTTACCAACTCTGATTCCGAATCCAATTTTATTAACTCATTATAAATTCTTTTAATGTGGGCATGTTTCTGATCCTTAATCTGAATTACCAAATTTTCATCTACTAAAGTAATTCCCACTTTCTTATCTAAAGTCCATCTCTCCAGTATTTGCAAATATTGAAACCATGATTGTAAAATATTTTCTTGCCTTAGCACATCTGAAGACTTTAATTGCCAATCAGTACCCGGCCAAATAAGTAACTCTTTATACGAAATATTATCAAAATTCACCCCCTTAGAAACCCCCTGAATTGCTTGTCCTGGAATCCCCCAAATAGGTATTTTATAATTTAATTTACAATAATACTTCTTCCATACTCGAAGTAAAGCATTTCTTAAAATATGTGACTTAAAAACCCAATCTACTTTCTTATCAAAAATTAAATACGCATGTCAACCATATAATAAATCCCAACCTTCAAGAGCAAGAATATTTTTATTTGTTAAATTAAACCAGTCACTTACTAAAGTTAAAGTGGCTGCATCATAATATAATTTCAAATTAGGTGCTTTAAGTCCACCTCTTTCTCGAGCGTCTTGTAAAATCTTAAACTTTACTCTGAATTTCTTCCCACCCCAAATAAATTTATTGATACCCTTCTGCCACACATCCAAATTAGCATCCTTTTTTAAAATAGGTATCATCTGAAACAAAAAAAGAAACTTTGGTAGAACATTCATCTTTACTACTGAAATTCTCCCCAGTAACAATAGTTGCAATTTTTGCCAATCATTTAAATCTTTTTGAACTTTAACCCATAAGCATTCATAATTATTCTTATACAATTTTCCATTAGATGTTGTAATATATACTCCTAAATACTTAACCTTATTGACTACTTCATAACCTGTTGCTTCAGTTATAAAATTTTTCCCCTTCATAGACGTATTTTTCAATAATATTTTAGTTTTATTCTTATTCACCTTAAAACCAGAGACCTGTCCATACTGTGCTAAAATTTCAACCAAATCTTTGACCGAATCTGTAGGATGGGATAACATCACAACCAAATCATTAGCAAAAGCTCTCAACCTATAATCAATCTTGCTTATTTTTATTCCTTTTAATCTAGATGAATCTCAAATTTTAATAAGTAAGATCTCCGTTGTTAATACAAATAACAAGGGGGATAAAGGACAACCCTGTCTTGTACTTTTTCCTATTTTAAATACGTCTGTTAATCCCCCATTAATTATAATTTGTGCCGATTGTTGCTGATATATGGCCTTGAGAGCACACAAAAAAATATCTCCAAAATTCATTTCCTCTACAACTTTCAATAAAAATTTCCAATCTAATTGATCAAAAGCTTTCTCAGCATCTATAAATATTAAAGCAGCAGGGATTTGGTTGTTCTTATCCAAATACTCTATTAAATTAACAATTTGTCTTACGTTATTTTTCATATATCTTCCCACTATAAATCC